CATTTAAACCTTTCTAGAGCAATATCTCTCAACAACTACCAAGATATTTACATTTCAAATGGCGTTGCTAATACATGGGTTGTGTATTATAATATTATTTCTATCAAATACATGTATAGTTTTGCCTTTTGTCATATCCCTGAAGCATCAGTATATATTTACCAAAATAAGAAAATATAGTTTAGGCTGGGCTAGAAAAAATGTACATTTGTCAGGGTTAGAAACTGGAATGAGCTGGGTTAGTAATTGTATTTTTGTTTCATGTAGGTTTATATGGACAATTTGCAAGTGTCTCTCTCTTTTCTTTTTTTTTAAATGTCTCATCTTTTCAGTTTTATTGTTATATCTTTCAAGTTTGCAATATCTTCACATTTTCTCTAGAGAAAATACTCCATGTTATGAGGACACAGTTCAAGCCATGTTCAAATTTTCCCTTGAGGACACAATCCAAGCAATGTTCATACTTCCTTTCGAGGTCACAGTCCAAGCAATATTCACATTATGTTTAGAGGACACAGTGCAAACAACATTCACATTCACTTTAGAGGACACAGTCCAAGCAATATTCACATTCCCTTTGAAAAACACAGTCTGAGAAATGTTCACATTCTCTCTAGAGGACACAGTCCAAGCAATGTCATTCCATTTGATAATACTACTTTACTGCCATTGAACATCTGTAGATATGTCTAAAAAAGAAAGAAGATAAAATAAAGTCACATCTTATAAATAAATTAGCTTACATCTAAATGAAGTTTTAAATTAGCTTACATCTAAATGAGGTTTTAAATTAGCTTACATCTAAAGGAAATTTTAAATTAGCTAACATCTAAATGAAGTTTTAAATTAGCTTACCTCTAAATGAAGTTTTAAATAAGCTTACATCTAAAGGAAGTTTTAAATTAGCTTACATCTAAATGAATTTTTAAATTAGCTAACATCTAAATGAAGTTTTAAATTAGCTAACATCTAAATGAAGTTTTAAATTAGCTTACATCTAAATGAAGTTTTAAATTAGCTAACATCTAAATGAAGTTTTAAATTAGCTTACATCTAATGAAGTTTTAATTTAGGTTACATCTAAATGAAGTTTTAAATTAGCTTACATCTAAATGAAGTTTTAAATTAACTAACATCTAAATGAAGTTTTAAATTAGCTTACATCTAAATGAAGTTTTAAATTAGCTAACATCTAAATGATGTTTAAATTAGCTTACATCTAATGAAGTTTTAAATTAGCTAACAGCTAAATGAAGTTTTAAATTAGCTTACATCTAAATGAAGTTTTAAATTAGCTAACATCTAAATGAAGTTTTAAATTAGCTTACATCTAAATGAAGTTTTAAATAAGCTAACATCTAAATGATGTTTAAATTAGCATACATGTAAATGAATTTTTAAAAAATTGGGCTTCTTTCTAAATGTTTTTTAAAAATTGCTTCACCTAAATGAATTTTTTAAAATTGCTAAATTCATAAAATTTTTAAATCAGCTCACTATATAAAAGTACAAAGTTAGTTCTAATAACAACCCCCCTGTCCAATAAAGGTCAATTATTTCAAAACTAAAACATGTCTTGTACGCTGTATTAACATGATCACTGAAATGTTAAGAAAAAAATTAAAATGTCAATATACATGTATAAGAGAAATTATTTTATCTCACTGAGAAATGTAACTAAAACAATCTGAATCCCCAGGATAAGGCATATTATCAGATATATTATTTTCCTTTATGCTTAACTATATGTTTTACAGTCGAATTTTGTTTGCTCAAACTTGTAAGACCCGAGCAAATTTGTTCGAGAGATCGGTAGCTGGAGCCAACCAAGGTTGAAGTACATGTATTATCATGCATAGTAAGATCATTCCTTTCAGAGGATATAGATCTAATGGTTGTTCTGGTTTTATCTTAACAGTTAACATAGCATGTCTATTCATCGAAAAACCAGTTTCATAACAAAAGAATAAGATGGTCAAACCAAGACTTGAACCCACAGCAGTCTAAGTGAGGAATAGAAAGTGAGAGACCGTAACTATTTAGTCACAAAGGTAATATAATTTTAACTAAAACATACCAAAGTTGGTCCAGATATCTAACTACAAGGTAAGGTTCCAATGTACTAAATGACTCCTGTATAACATCTTCAAATCTGGAATTTTTAGAATTTTCTTCAATACAAAAAATACAATATACATGTACAATTAATTTCATCAAGTCAAAACTTGCCCAAGGTTATGAGGCTGAGGACAAGCAGTTTCCCAAATGCTATAATCCCTAAACCCTAAGGGACAATGGTTTTGACTGTTCCCCACAACAGCCAAGAAATTTTCTGTTTTATTATTAATGCTTAGCAATCAAAATATAATAATTATAAAAAACACACGTATATAATTTTTACAACTGTTTTTTAATTTTGAACTGTTTTACATTGAAACCTACAGATTCTGATTTTCTTAAACCATACCGTACATTAAGCTGAGCAATGTTCGATAACTGAATAGTGGCGGATGTTGTTAACGGAAATACCTGATGACAGGGGTGAAACCGATAAAATTGTTGACCGGTCATAAGTTTATTTCATCACTGCACAAGCACAGGATTTAAGTGGTTCAATTAAACAGTTGTAAACAAGGAATTAGTATTTATAGAAGGCATAAGGTAATAATACAAGTTAACTTAAAAAATGTACAACTTGCTAGACAATAATAACTACGGCAATATAGGCCAGTTTGGTTCTTTACTGTTGCCATTGGCAGAACATAATTTCTTCTAGTAGTCAGACAGTCAATCATATAAATATATCATGTACTTACTTTTCTAAATGTAACACTAGTTCTTCTGCTTGACTGTTTGTTGTTAATGGATCTTCTGTAAAATCTTCATCTAAAGTAAACCCACTACTTCTTTCTATACTGTAAATACATTTAAATTAGTGATATATGTGTACGATCTTTGGAATGACAGATTTTTAAAGAAGCATGCCTCCAGATGAGCTAAAATATTGCAATACATTCAAACTTGTGAAGAATGTACTAAGACTTCAAGAAAATTAAAAAGATTCAAAATTCAAGTAATAATTTACATGTTGTGCATAATTAACGATTGATTGGCAGTATTTACCATCATATTTCTACTGCATGACTAACACAGTAATGACTATTTTTACATTTTTTGACCTCTTTCTGGTAGTTTACATGGGATTGTAAGTGCCACTTGCAATGTGTAAATTACTGTCTTTGTTCACTTCATATTATACTTTTAAATTCACTTTTAAAATTCTCATGAAAATTAGCATGTATTTGGAGGCATGTTGCTCTCAAGGATATCCACTGTAGTCTAAAAGCCTTAAAACATAAAAGTTGAAATTCTTGCACAAATCAACTTGTTTACTTGAGATAACAGAGAAATATGCTCCGGATTATTTTAAAATCAATCTTTTGTGCGATTCTAAGTCCACTTTGTGTTTAAACCAATTAGAGTTAAAAGTGTTGCAATGCTTAGATTTGAGATAAAATGGTTGCAATGCTTAGATTTGAGATAAAATGGTTGCAATGCTTAGATTTTAGTTAAAAGCCTTGCAATGCTAAGTTTTGAGTAAAAAGCATTGCAATGCTAAGACCCGAGTAAAACCTGTTGCAATGCTTAGATTTGAATAAAAAGGGTTGCAATGTGTTTCCTTTTTTTGGTCATTTTGCGTAAAAAAATTAGATATTCAATATTCCTGAAAAACTAGTTTGTGTGAAAGGCCTTGAGAAAAAAAAATAGCACTAAATTGTGAGAATAATTGCTTAGGACCCACCACTTGGCCAGTTCATCATTATAAGCAACAAAAATAGGCAAAGTAAATCAAAGACATTAAGAATAAGAATTTTCTACAATTTCAAATCTCACTATAATTAATTCATTATTATTACCTACAAAGTCTTGCATGACAATACTGTAACTTTGCGCTGTACATAATTCTTTCCCAACTGAATTTGTAATTCTTTATGCGTCTTTGGCCGAGATCCTGAACAATTATAGAACTTTTCCCCAACTCTTCAGTTACGGCATCTATGTCTTTTTCATCAATTTTATAATCTGTAATAACAAGAACTACTCCCTAAACAGAATCCAAATCTTAATATAATCTAGTCATTGTAGTAAAATAAATGTACATAAACAAAAGAAAAACAAAACAAAAAACATCTGTTGGTAGGACAGCATGCTTTGTTACAACCAGTTTTGCAATAAAAACGAGTTTTGCAATAATTTTATTGCAAAACTGGTTGCATTGACATGATTTTATTGCAATTTGATTACAACCGGTTTTGCAATAAAAACGAGTTTTGCAATAAAATATTTTTTCTATCGGATTTTATTGACATAATACAAAAAGACATTATTAAAATTTATCTATGTATATTAGGATTGACATGCAGGAATTAATTCTGGGATAATGAGTGTATATGCATATGATCAACATTAATTTACATTCTCAATTTCATAAGTCGTTTTCCTTTTAATATATATGATGAAAGGATGATCATCCTATGAAAAATATCAAGGACATGTACATTTACAGCAACAACTGTATTTGCCTCAAATGTCGGTGATATACATACAAAGAACTTTTAGTAAGGTCTTTAACTTACCAGTTCTTTGATGAAAGAAAAAAAACGAGTTTTTGCAATAATTTTATTGCAAAACTGGTTGCGTTGACATGATTTTATTGCCAATTTGATTACAACCGGTGTTGCAAATAAAAAACGAAGTTTTGCAATAAATATTTTTTCTATCGGATTTTACTGACATTATACAAAAAAGACATTATAAAAAAATTTTTATCCTATGTATATTAGGATTGACATGCAGGAATTATTTTTCTTGGGATAATGAGTGTATATGCATATGATCAAACATTAATTTACATTCTCAAATTCATTAGTCGTTTTCCTTTTAATATATATGATGAAAGGCATGATCATCACATGAAATATCAGGACATGTACATTTACAGCCAACAACTGTATTTTGCTCAAATTTCGGTGATATACATACACGAACTTTTAGTAAGGTCTTAACTTACCAGTTCCTTTGATGAAAGAAAAAAAAAAAACGAGTTTTGCAATAATTTTATTGCAAAAACTGGTTGCGTTGACATGTTTTTATTGCAATTTGATTTCAACCGGTTTTTGCAATAAAAAATGAGTTTTGCAATAAAATGTTTTGCTATCGGATTTTATTGACATTATACAAAAGACATTATAAAATTTATATATGTATTATTTAGGATTGACATGCAGGAATTAATTCTGGGATAATGAGAGTGTATATGCATATGATCAAACATTTATTTACATTCTCAGTTTCATTATCGTTTTTCTTTTAATATATTGATGAAAAAGGATGATCATCATGAAATATCAGGACATGTACATTTTACAGCAACAACTGTAATTTGCTCAAATTTCGGTGATTATACATTACAAGAACTTTTTAGTAAGGTCTTAACTTACCAGTTCTTTGATGAAAGAAAAAAACGAGTTTTGCAATAATTTTATTGTGCAAAAACTGTTGCGTTTGACATGATTTTATTGCAATTTGATTTACAACCGGTTTTGCAATAAAAACGAGTTTTTGCCAATAAATATTTTTTTCTATCGGATTTTACTGACATTATACAAAAGACATTATTAAAATTTATCTATGTATATTAGGATTGACATGCAGGAATTATTTTCTGGGATAATGAGTGTATATGCATATGATCAAAACATTAATTTACAATTCTCAAATTCATTTAGTCGTTTTCCTTTTAAATATTATATATGCATGAAAGGATGATCATCATGAAATATCAGGACATGTACATTTACAGCAACAACTGTATTTGCTCAAATTTCGGTGATATAACATACAAGAACTTTTTAGTAAGGTCTTAACTTACCAGTTCTTTGATGAAAGAAAAAAACGAGTTTTGCAATAATTTTATTGCAAAACTGGTTTGCGTTGAACATGTTTTTATTGCAATTTGATTTCAACCGGTTTTTTGCAATAAAAATGAGTTTTGCAATAAAAATGTTTTGCTATCGGATTTTATTGACATTATACAAAAGACATTATAAAATTTATATATGTATATTAGGATTGACATGCAGGAATTAATTCTGGGATAATGAGTGTATATGCATATGATCAAACATTTATTTACATTCTCAGTTTCATTAGTCGTTTTTTCTTTTAATATATTGATGAAAGGATGATCATCATGAAATATCAGGACATGTACATTTACAGCAACAACTGTATTTGCTCAAATTTCGGTGATATACATACAAGAACTTTTAGTAAGGGTCTTAACTTACCATGTTCTTTGATGAAAGAAAAAAAACGAGTTTTGCAATAATTTTATTGCAAAAACTGGTTGCGTTTGACATGATTTTTTATTGCAATTTGATTACAACCGGTTTTGCAATAAAAACGAGTTTTGCAATAAAATATTTTTCTATCGAATTTTAATTGACATTATACAAAAAGACATTATAAAATTTATATATGTATATTAGGATTGACATGCAGGAATTAATTCTGAGATAATGAGTGTATATGCATATAATCAAACATTAATTTACATTCTCAATTTCATTAGTCTTTTTCCTTTTAATATATATATGATGAAAGGATGATCATCATAAAATATTCAGGACATGTACATTTACAGCAACAACTGTATTTGCTTCAAATTTCGGTGATATACATACAAGAACTTTTAGTAAGGTCTTAACTTACACGGTTTCTTTGATGAAAGAATAAAAAACGAGTTTTGCAATAATTTTATTGCAAAACTGGTTTGCGTTGACATGATTTTATTGCAATTTGATTACAACCCGTTTCGCAATAAAAACGAGTTTTGCAATAAAATATTTTTTCTATCGGATTTTATTGACATTATGCAAAAGACATTATAAAATGTATCTGTTTATTATCTTTTATTTATCTTATAAGGATTGACATGCAGGGATTATATTCGGAAATAATGAATAAATAAGGCTCAAACAATAATTAACATTCTAAATTTCATTATTTTTTTATATTTTTAATATATATATGATGAAAGAATGATCATCATGAAATATTAGAACATGTACATTTATAACAAGAACTGTACTTTTGGAATATCTTGTGCTCAAATCTCTGTGATATACATACATGACCTTTAATAAGGTCTTAACTTACTAGTACTTTAAAGAAAGAACAAAAAAAAAAAAAAAAAAAAAATAAAACGAGTTTTGCAATAATTTTATTTGCAAAAACTGGTTGCGTTGACATGATTTATTTGCAATTTGATTACAACCGGTTTTGCAATAAAAACGAGTTTTGCAATAAATATTTTTTTCGATCGGATTTTATTGACATTATAAAAAGACATAATAAAATTTATCTATGTATATTGGGATTGACATGAAGAAATTATTTTCTGGGATAATGATTGTATATGCATATGATCAAACATTAATTTACATTCTCAATTTCATTAGTCTTTTTCCTTTTAATATATATATGATGAAAGGATGATCATCATGAAATATCAGGACATGTACATTTACAGCAACAACTGTATTTGCTCAAAATTTCGGTGATATACATACAAGAACTTTTAGTAAGGTCTTAACTTACCAATTCCTTGGTGAAAGAAAAAAAAAAAGTTTTGCAATAATTTTTATTGCAAACAGGTTGCGTTGACATGATCTTATTTGCAATTTGATTACAACCCGTTTTTGCAATAAAAAACGAGTTTTGCAATAAAATATTTTTTCTATCGGATTTGATTGAGATTTTATACCGTTTATACCGACATTATAAATTTCTTATGTGTAAATTAAGAACTTGCATGCAGGGCTTATATTCGGGAGTTTTGTATACATGTATATGATTAATATCATTCTAAAATTTGCTTTATTTTCTTTTAAGTATTTTTGATGAATAATGATCATCATGAAATATCAGGGCATTACATGTTCAACAACAACTGTTGATGATATTCTTACATGACCTTGACACAAGGTGAAACTTACCAGTGTTTTTCAGAATTTTAATGATAACATTGTTTGCAAAACGCCTTCGATGAAACATCAATTTTGTTGCAATTTTTTCACCAACCAGTTTTCAATAAGAAACTATGTTGCAATAAAATATTCGCCCTATAATATCAGATTATTTTGAGATTATACTCATAGACATTATAATGTTATTCTTTGTCTATATGGATTTACATGCAGGGATTCAACAGAAATATGCATATAAAATCTATTAGTTAAAAACTATTTTTTATTGCCAAATATTGATAATGAATGCATTTTATGAACACCAGCGCATTTACATTATCTGAAACAATGTGCTTTTTGCAAATTTTTGGAGCAAAAACTCCTGTTGATATACATTCATGATATTCCAAAGGCAATATAATGTACAAAAATATTAAAAATGAATCTAATGCCACTCCAAATTCAAAGCTCTAAAATGACTTTTCTGAAAGTTTGAGCATGAATTTCTGTTTAAATTCTATTATTTTTGGTTTGATGCATAAAAGATCTATATATGTTGAACAAAATTTGGACGCCTGATAGAATTACCAAAAGTAGTTTAAACAAGTCAGGTGACTTGAACAAACCCTTTTGAAGTTGTTCGATATTGTGCTTGATTGAAACAAGCCTAATTAGCTAAGTCATTCATTTGACATGTTCTTTAAAGAGTTCACTTTGATAAACTATTGTGAAAAAATGCAGCTCTCAACAATGACCCCACGTGGGCAAAAGTTAAGGAAACCACCATTTTATTCTTTAGAGCAAAAGTTTTTGTTTCCGTGCGGACTGTCTAATATATTTATTTTTAGGGCATTTTACAGAATAATGAATGAAAAATTCAAAACTAAGAAATGAAAATTTTGCCTGTGTCTTCCTATAAATTGTCGAAATTTACAAGTACTTTGAAAAGTGTTGACAACATTATTGCAAAACCCTTAATATGAAGTTTGGCAATTTGAAATAAAATTATATGTCTACACCGTACTGAAGATACCTTATAGTGTATACATATAT